GGCAATGTGGCTTCCATTGCCTCACTTGGGAGGGTAGGAATGTAGGAATTACCATATTAACTGAGGGTTTATCTTCACTTAAAACACTACAGCAGCACAGCTGCGGTGCTTCAATGTGAACACTACTTACGCCGACGGGATGGAGTCTCCCGTCGGTGTAGATAACCCACCTCCCAGAGAGGCAGTCGCTAGTTCAATGGAAGAATTCTTCCATTGACTTAGTGCTGTCTACATGGAGACTTCGGGCAAGTCTACACTACTGCGCTGCACTGCTGTCACACGTCTGGTGAAGACACGCTATGCCAGCAGGACAGCGCTCTCCCATCAGCATCGTTACTCCACCTCAATGAGAGGCGGGAGCTATGTCGGTGGGAGTGAGAGTGTCTCCTGCCGACTTAGCGCTGGTGTGGACAGCTCTTAGGTTGATGTAATTTGGGTGGCTCGGGGGTGGCTTTTTCACACTCCTGAGCGACATAAGTTACATCAACTTAAGCGGTAGTGGAGACAAGCACTTAAGTCGGCTTAACAATGCCACTCAAGGATATGGATTTTTTGCACCCCTGACCAATGTAGTTAAACGGACCTAATTTTCTAGTGTAGACCAAGCCTCAGACCAATGGTCCATCCAGTCCAGTATCTTGGCTGTTACAGCACCGGTAACAGCTGCTTCAAACGAAAGATCCAAGAAACCTTTCAGTAGTAGCTATGGAATAACCTGCCCACAGGGAAGGTTTTTTTCCTAGTTCCTTCAGCCCCTTTGATTAGAGGCTGGTTGAAACCCTGAAGCATGAGAGTTTTTATCCCTTCCAAAACACGTGGAATTAAACCCTTGCTGTTGAAACTCTAGATGTTATTTTTCTCCCTATAAACTCCTATTCCTTTTTTAAAAATACTTCTAAGTTCTTCACCTGGATGATATCTTGAGGCAATGAGTTCCACAGGTTAATTGTGCGTAGTGTGAAAATATACTTCCATTTATCCACAACCAAGATCTTACCACTAGGGGTCTGATTGTAGTCCTCCTCTTACCTATACCTTTGTTCAACGTTATTCCATTTCTCCTAGTAAAACCACTGTAGACCCCACACCAAGTGGCTCTTCTCTTTCCTTGCTATCTGAATGGCTTATGTGTTTCTTTGCCAAGGGCAACAGATCATCCAGAATCGATCCTTCCCCATTATATCATGTGTTTGTATTTTTACATGCTAGTTTCATGATCCACCAAGATGTTCAGCTCACCTGTTGTGCACTATTTTGAGCCAAATGACTAAAAACGAAATAAAAAGCACACAGAAAACCCATCCCCACTGATGTATTCAAAGTGAGGTCCCAATTAAAGGGGGTCCCACCATATAGTTAGTCAGAAGGAAAAATACATCTGTGCAATGAGATTAAGGGTTGGCACGTTTCAAACCCCCAGTATTCAAAGATGACAGATTACATGCCTTGGGAAGCATCTACAGCAGGTTTGTTGTTAATATGCTGAAAACTGCCTTTTGATTTTTATCTGAACCTCAGCTCAGCAGGGACTTCATCCCCCTTTCTTTGCCTTGCTGGTCTCCCCAGATGAAGAAGGGCAGTAATGGGGAGAAGGCGAGAAAGGCGCCATTTTCTGTGATTGGGTTTGAAATGCTCTTGGTGACAATTCAGAGCAGCCTGCAAGTGTGTAAATGCCAGAATGAGGCCTGCTCTTAATACCTTGCTAGTCTATATTATATCTATCGTTCATGGAGCTTTTACAGCCAAATGTTGGAATGAATGAAACCAAGTAGCAAAGACTTAAATTAGTTGGCAACAGTCCAAGTCATGGAAACAAAACTAACCATTAATTAGCCATTGGAACAATTTACCAAGGGTCATGATGGGTTCTCCATCACTGAACATTTTAAAATCAAGATTGGATGTTTTTCTGAAATTTCTAGGAATTGTTCTGGGGAAGTCCTATGGCCTGTGTTCTACGGGCAGTCAGATTTGGTGGTTACAATGGTCCTTTCTGGTCATGAAATCTATGGAACCGCAAGTGAGGGCTTTAGGGAAGTTCTCTCCCTGATATTGAAGCGGGGTGACCTAGTGGATTGAGTACTAGGCCAGCAGTTAGATGCTCCTGCTTTCTAGGAAAACAGGAATAGCTCAGCTGGATCAGACCAATGGTCCATTTTATTTAGTATCTTGTCTCTGAGAGTGGCCAGTGCTAGATGCTTCAGAGGACAGAACAAGAACTCAGAAGTGGATAATTATGGAATAGCCGGTCCTTAGTGGAAGTTCTTTCTGACCCCTATTTAGAGGTTGGCATATTTTTGAGCAGTAAACATAAGGGTTTATATCAGTTCCATCCTCTTTTTTTGAAAATAATCCTATCTATTGTAATGGGGGCTGTTTTTGTTAGCCATGTAAATTCCAGTCTTTTTTTTTGGAATCTGATTAAACTCTTGGACTCAGTAATATTTTGTGGTGATGAATTCCACAGGCTGATTGATCACAGGTTCATTTGGGCTGGTGTTATGACATCAGATTGTGATGTAAATATTGTCGTATCATGGAGTCTGGCTTGCCAAACTTTGTGACCAGGAGGAAAACCTCTTTGGATTCAGCCACACCTATTTAGAACAGTAATTGCTCCACATCTAGCTAGTAAAATCTAGCACTGAATAGCTTCTATTTGTTTAAAACGTTTATGTCTAAGAAGCTGGCAAGTCAGAGGCTGTGAGTTGAAGTTGGTTATTTTGCAGCATTTGATTTAATTTCACTAACAAGTTACACTTCTCCCTATAACTTAAATTTGTGTCAAATACAGCCACAGATAAATTTTCAGAGAGACCCCAGGTCTTGTGGGACAAGGTGGTAAATTTAAAGAATGTGTATAGAAGGCTGGCCTTTTACAAAGCTATTTTGAGGGGGGAAATAAGAGGGTATTTCATGTTAAGCACATGGGGAAGTTTTGAGAGTCAGTGAATCTAAACATTTCTGCATCATTCTTGCTTTTGCTTGAGGCCTTCACATAGCACAGACAGGCAACTGAGAGTGTGGAGGCAGCAGTGAAAAATGTAAGATTAATACGGTACTATTTTTAGGGATGTATAGGAGGTTGTGCTATTTGGCGGCTAAAGAAGGGGACTGGAAGTCAAGACTCCTGGGTCCTGTTCTCAGAGCTGCCACTGACTCTAAGTGCATGACCTTGGGCAAATCCCTTAACACCTCTTTGCCACAGTTCACCTTTCTGTAAACAGGGGAGAATAATAGTTATTATACTGTTTCAGAGGGATGTTATGAGGCTTTCAATAATGCCAAGGACAATTCTTTAAGCTCAGTGGATAAAAAGAGCTATGTTATCATTGCCCTTCTTCCAGAAGTGTGCAGCATTGTTATTGTCACTAGAGACGTAGTTCGGTTAATGAAGCTATGCAGATTCCAGGCAATTATTTTGTAGGAATAAGACAATTACATTTGCCCCATGTTATCTCTCTGCCTGGCAGCGTTCCCTTCCTCCTCCTCCCAAGCGGTGTAGAAAATGCCACTATTTGCCCTAGCTTCCATTACAACCAATGAAAACTTTAGCAAATACAGCTCATTCAATTTTGTGAAAAATATCAGCTGTCAAATGCTTCTGTTTTAACCTACTACCCCCATACTAACCATGTTCTTTGCTGCCACGATCAGGAGCGGACAAGCTGAGTCACAAGTCAGAATGTAATGCTATGAGCTCAGACCACAGTGGTAAGATCTCCTCAGCCAAGAGATTCCTTAGCCATTCACCTTCTGTTTTGCTAAATGGCCTACATTTTTGCTCGAGCGAGCACAATTAAAAACCGTGCATAACCTCTCAAAAATACAGGTAATTTACCAGCCAGATTGGGATGCTTTGAGCATCCTAATCACCCTGGAGTAGAATTCATGTCATATTTTGCTGCTTATTGTTGCTGGCTGCCTGCAGAGTCAGGAAGACCCTGCAGCATCAGTTTACAGGTCGTTAATTTTTTCAGTGTTATCTTGCCAGCCATGAGGGTCTTTTTTTTTTTTTTTTAAATGGAAGTGAAGGTCCAGAATATCGTTCTGTGGCAAAGCGGCAAATTCTGTAAATGATGTTTAAGTTGTTCCTAAAATAATAAAAAGGAATCTAGGCAACACTCTACGCACCCCTAACACAAGTTACCCCCCAAAAGATCAAATTAAACAACTGTGGCTAATTCAGATCAGATGCTGATTACAATCCCCTCAAGGCTGGGGAAATTGGGAGTCGGAGTGGGGTTGGGTTAGCTTCTTTGAGACTAGAATTTGGATACAGATCTGCATACTGGGTTAGATGCTGAACCTTCCCCACATCCTAAATAGAAAATTTTGTGGGGAAAAGGGATTGGGCCCATGTCTAGTTATTTATATAGCAGCCACTGACCAACATATTCTTGGTCCTGTACCACTATCAACCCCAAATCTGCAGTCCTAATTCAGGCAAAACCCCCGCTGAGTTATTGGCTGAGTCGGGATTGCAGAACTATGACTTACATATACAAGAATTACTTTACCCACCAGTGAAATGCAGCCGCCTCTAGGGTAGAGGGGGGCAATCAGATCACACAGCACAACAGAACACGACCGAGCGAGAGGAGACATGGTCAGACAAGCCCTTAGTCTTATTTAAAAAAAGCACAAGAGCTTTAATTTCAACACAAAACAGATAAGGATCTTGTTATTTAATGTCCCGTTTGATAGACAAAACAACAGTTTATCTGCTTCTGAAAGATGAAGTGGTGAATCGACCCAGCTAGGATTTGAAGCTCTGGTTCCAGGGCACTTGGGGTTTCAAATTTGATCCCTGCTATATCTGATCAAGAAACGATAAACCTGATATTAAGATTGGCAGTTACCGACTCAATGGAAAAGTGCAGCCTTCACATGGAATCCTTGAGTGCTCCCAGACTAGCTCTGAAAGTGCACATCCCACTGTCTGGTAGCATCTTAAAAAAAAAATAATAATAATCCCCAAATATTCTAAACATCAGTACCTTGTTCTTAGCTAACGCTGGTAGCCTTTCCTTAAATACAATCCTTTCAGGAATTGATTTCCATGTAGCAAATGAAAGGAGATAGGACACTTAATCCAACTGAGCAAGTCTCTTCCCTCCCAAATGATATGGAGTGTTTTTACATGGCTGAATCTTGCAAATGAAGTCTTCAGGGAAATGATCAGCCGCTTGTAGGACTTGGAGATAGGGGAGCTTGCAGCATGATTGCGACTCTCAAAAGAAGGAGCTGTGTCTGCAATTGTGGGCTCAGCTTAATGGCAAATGATTATCTACAGAGGGTGGAGGGGGGGGGCGGGGGAGGAAAGCAAAGCAGCCAATGTAGCCAAGATGAGGTGGTTATTTTTAACAAGTTTCCTTTTCTGTTTACAATAGAATTTAATTTGATTTCTTTACAATGTGCCCTATGAATGGCAGTCGAGGAACAAGTGCTTGTATCCTTTTCTCTGTGAAGTGCAGGGTGGACAGAGACCCCTAAGCTATAATTTTGATGGCAGTCTTGCAGGACATCTCCCATACTCTGCAGGGCTGTTAAGGGCAGCTCTGGGGAACTGGGGCAGGGACCAGGGATTTACGGCTGTGCAGATCCATCAGTCATTTGCTGCGTGCTGGAGTCCCCAGTGACAGATGTAAACAGGGGCTTTGCTGACACTCAGTGGCCTGGGTTGGTGTGGGGAATTTGTTTTATGCTGCATCCTGTGAAACTCCTGAGAACACAGTCCCAAGGCATGAGAAACAGGCAGTGGAGCAGCCTAGACACAAGCGAACCTTGTTGCTCGACTTTCAGGCCTTGTCTACAGCAGAGAATTTCTTTCTTGTTTTTCCAGCAACAATGCAACGACACTGCTGCTAGCAACAGTATGAACCCCAATGTAAGCAGGGCACCTGGTCTGCACTACAGCTTGTGCCATTGGTCATACTGGTACAGCCGCACCACGGCTAGGAAAATGGGTACAAAATGTCCTATTGTGGACACTCCCTCATTCTGCAAGCTAGGTGAAGTGCCTAAAGTGAACCGTTGGCATAACCGGTGAAGGGTAAATTAGATTAGATTATTGCAGTCCTTTCAATGGAGTGGGGATGGGGGTGGTTAGAGGAGTAACCAACAAAGTGGGTTTCTAACATGTCCGTGGACACCTTGCTTTGCACATTGGTCATTTGTTGCCTGTCTGACTTATCCAGTCAGGCAGTGGACTATACAGAGCTGTGTATTTGTACAGCACTTTGCACAATGGGGCCTGATCCTGAATGGGGCTCTTGGATGCTATTCAAAGATAATTATTGCTCTAAGGTATATTTTGGCTGTAACACAGGTAAGGAAAATACGAGGATTTTTTAACAAAACTGCTACCTTGACCGTCCCCCTTTCACATAGACTGTTTGCCTTTTCCCTTCTTGCAGGAGGAATGCCAGAACTATGTGCGAGTGCTGATTGTTTATGGCAAGAAGGTTTTTACCTGCGGTACCAATGCCTTCTCCCCAGTGTGTTCCAGTAGACAGGTCTGTTATTGTCTTCTCTTTTGGGGGGGGGGGGGAGGGGATGGTGGAGAGAGATGAGGGTGTGTTCCAAGGAAAGAGTCATTTTGAGGCGAAGATGGAATATTCCCTATTATAGAATAAATATTTAAAATTCAGCTGATCTGAAATTGTGTCTCTTTGCTGTGACCCCACCCACCCCCCTTGCTGGGAAATGAGGCTGATGCTATATATGGATTGGGTTCAGCTACAAAACAATATTTGTGGCCTTGTGAGTCACACACTCCCTATAGGGTAGTGCTTTGTGAGGTGGGAGGCTGATTGTGGTGGAAGGGGCTAGGACTCGGACTACCCTTTTGTTTTTGGAGGAGAGGTTTTTTTCACTTGTCCTCACCCCAGCCCCTTGTAGGGAGCAGGGCAGAAGAGCTGGAGAGCTGCGAAGGGGGCCTTGGGATGAGAGGGATTACAGGGCTGTTGAAACTTTACGCCGTTCATGGCTCTTTCTTGCTCTTCCCTTGCTCATAAGCCTGCTGCTGACAGCTAGGACTGGCCACACACATCTGTTGTCTCTATAAGGTTCTTCCCTAGCTGAATGCTTAGCCAGCTTGAACGGGAAGCTGTCTCTGTTTTAGGATGTTGGGGATGTGCATGGGGCATGCTCGGTCCTCTGACATCCTTCTCGAGACCCAGATTATCCCGGGTGGCAATTGAGCTGGGTGGATTCAGGAGACATGGAACACAGATTAACTAAGGGGGGGGGGGGGAAGGTGGGGGGAAGGCGGCATTCTTTAGCTCCAAACAGGAGAGATTCCCCCTCAGAATCAGGACTGGCCCCTGCAGCTGTGTCGTTAGTACTACAAAGGCTGTTTTCAGTGAGAGTCGGCCCTGTTTGTTGGAATTCCAACTCCTATAGGGTTCCAGCCAAGCAAATGACAAAGCTCTCCTTGGTATTAAAAGGAGCAGGAGCAGGACCCCAGTGATTTAAAAAATGTCAGCAGGTAAAATTGGAAACAGAAGGAACCTACACATCCAGAGACTGTAAATAGGCAGTTGATGTACGTGGGTACAACTCCATTGACATAGGCGAGCTGTGTCCGCTGGCGTCCCAGAGGGCCAGCGGGTCTGAAGCTAATGCACCACACTGGCTTTGTGCTGGCCCTCTGCAAGTGGCAGATTTGACCACTGATTTACAATCATGCACAATGTCATTTTCTTACCATTGCCTATTGTTGTTTTTTTTAACATGGGGGTTGTTACTAGGTGCTCAAGGAAAGGTTGAATTCTGTGTGCATGCTTAGAGAAGCCAACTGTGCTATTAAACCCTTTATTCCCACTTTCTCTCTCCTTTTAAATACAGGTAGGAAATCTTAGTAAAACCATTGACAAAATAAATGGAGTGGCTAGATGCCCGTACGACCCTCGGCATAACTCGACAGCTGTGATTACATCACGGGGAGAACTCTATGCTGCAACTGTAATTGATTTCTCTGGACGGGATCCTGCCATTTACCGCAGCCTTGGAAATGTTCCCCCACTACGGACTGCACAATACAACTCCAAATGGCTTAATGGTAAAGTCCCGCTGGCCAAACCGAAGCAATACGTGTATTGAAAGCAACAGGATAGGCTTGTAAATCAGCTCCTTCTCCCTCATTTCACACCAGAATCCAGAATTGACAGGGGATTTCAGAGAACTTTGTACAGTTCAGAGAATGTGGTTTATAGAGTACTTTTTACAGAGAGAGGGTGCTGGGTATGTAGTCTTGAGATGCCAAAGGAGGAGAAACTAAGTCAACATAAACCCCCACCCTATTATACATTCCTAGATGTTAAGGCCAGAAGGGATCATTATAATGTTCTAGTCTGACCTCCTGTGTAACCCAGGTCATAAAAATTCATCCAGTAATTTCTGCATCGAGCCCTGGATGAGCAAGGACAGATCTATTAGAAAGAGACCCAGTCTTGACTGAAAGACGTAAGTGATGGAGAATCTGCTATGTCCCTTGGTTAGTGGGGCCTGATCCACAAACCGTTCAGGTCAGTGGGAGTCTTTCTATTGGCTCAAACCCTATGGGCAGCGCTTGTCTCCACTCTCCAGATCCTGGGGAAGCTTATGAAGGCTGCTATAGAGCTGTGGGATATTGTGTTGAAGCAGTGTCCAGAGGAAGAAGGTGCTGGACTATGGCATTGTTTCTCCATTCAGAGGCAAGTCCCAGCATTTCTCCTTTAGGTTTGTTTTCCTGCACAAACAAACAAACAAACAAACAAACAGAAAGACAAATAGAGAAAAATCCAGGCGAAGGAAAGAAAATCTGAAGAGAGCATTGAAAGAAGAGCAGAGCTAAGCTGAGCTGCCAGTGCAATGCTGTAGCTAAAGGAGCTCATGCAAACTGTGGATGTATAAATGGGGATATTGAGTAGGAGTCTGAAGGCAGTATTGCCTCTGTATGCAGCACTGGTGAGACCATTATCAGAATACTGTGTCCTGTTCTGGTGTCCACATTTCAAAAAGGATGTTGAAAAATTGGAAAGGGTTCAGTGAAGAGCCACAGGAATGATTTGAGGTCTGGAAAACCTGCCTTGCAGTGAGAGACTTAATGAACATAATTTATTTAACTTACTCAAAAGAAGGTTAAAAGGTGACTTGATTGTGCAGCACAAGGACCTGCATGGGGAGAAAATACCTGATTAAAAAAGGGCTTTTTGACCTAGCACACAAAGCTACAATAAGTTCAAAGGTTGGAAGCGGAAGATAGACAATTTCAAACTGAAAATAAAGTGCCTGTTTTTAACAGTGGGGGTAATTAACCATTGGAACAAGTTACCAAGGAAGGTGGAGGATTTGAAATCTCAGGAAATCGGTCTGTGAGGATTAGGTGTCTTTCTAAAAGATATGGTCTGCTTCAACCAAAAATTACTGGGCTTGATGCAGGAACCACAGGGGGAAATTCTGTGGCCTGTGTTATGTAGAAGATCAGATTAGGTGATCATAATGGTCCCTTGGGCCTTAAAATCTATATAGCTTTATCTGTGATGGTCTGATTGGACCCATTCTCTGGAGCCCTCTCCTACTTTATCATCTACTACCTCCTAGCTTAAACCTGCCTTGCAGCTTTACCAGATCTCCCCGTGCATGCTCTGTTCTCCTCCTCGCTCCTGGGCTGTAGAATTAAAGGAATTCCTGTACATTTTTCTTCCTCCTTTGAGCATTAGTCCAACATAAGATCATAAAAGCAGCCTGTAAAATCAACAGTTTTTTCCCCCCTCCAGTCAAATATTGTTCATTGTCCAAACTTTTTCCTTTTCTACAAAGTCTGTTGGCATGAAAGAATATACACTTTAAAACTTTGTGTAGTGTCTGATTAAAATGCACGCTTCAAACCTCTTCCAGAGTCTTTTAAATTCTTGTAGGGGGAGAACTACAATGCGTATTTTGATACTATCAGTTCTGGTGTGGTTTGTTTTACAAACATGAGAAAATCTTTTAGTGCCTATGAACTGGAAAAAGGCCCATGATAGAAGCCAGATGTCATTGCATTAGGAGAATAGGTTGAATGTTTCAATACAGCATTTAGAGAATTAGGAGGTGATGCAAACAGCATATTTAACACACCATAATGTGTGACTCAGCAATGAAAAGGGGGTGGGTGGCTTGTATTGTAGAGTGAATACAGGTACACATGTGGTAGCTATACCACTGATCGCAATGGTGAAAGGATTGGGCCCAGTATTTGCATCCCCAGGGTTGGAGCTGAGGAACTGAATGGGAGCTACACACCCATATGTCATTATTCTCAGATCCACTGCTCGGGTGTCCTCTGCCAACGCAGTGTCCCCTACAACCTAACAGTGCAACGCACAGAGCCGTTCGATGAGCACCATTCGGCTTCTGAGCTCTGTAAATCTCATTGCGCGTCTGTTTTCCAGAGCCCAACTTTATTGCTGCCTATGACATTGGTTTGTTCACCTACTTCTTTTTCCGTGAGAATGCGGTGGAACATGATTGTGGGAAAACTGTCTATTCTCGCGTGGCCAGAGTTTGCAAAAACGACATTGGGGGGAGATTTTTGCTGGAGGACACGTGGACGACTTTTATGAAGGCCAGGCTGAACTGCTCCCGCTCTGGAGAAATCCCCTTCTATTACAATGAACTGCAAAGCACCTTCTATCTTCCTGAGCAAGACCTGATCTATGGAGTCTTCACTACCAATGTGTGAGTTGTGACACTTTCAGTTATGTTTCCGCCCCTCTTTCCCACCTCAGCCCCCAGCACAATGAAACTGTCTTACTATCAATTCCAGTCAATCATTCTGAAAGATCATTTAGAGGCAAAGTATCCTTTAGAACTTTCAGGGAGAAGCATGAGCTATAAAATAGAGGGATGTAAAGACATAACTGGAGATTGTCATATCACCTTTCTGATGTTTGTTGGGATCGTTTTCAAGGAAGTTGCATTGGGATGGTTTTGCGTGCACATGTGTGAGGATCCTGAGGACAGAGTCAGAGGAGAAGAGCTAAGTTTAAAAAATATATTGTGAATTTTTTTAGGTTTTTATTTACTTTTTTAAAGTTAGATGAGTGTAAGTCAGGCTTCTCCAAACCCCCTCGCTCAGATGAGAACAATTTCTCACTGCTACCAGCATGTCCATTATGAGGTCACAATAATACTCTCTAGAGTTTATGTTAGACTGAATTATAAAGGAGAAGATGAAAGTGGAATTAATTGTTGTACAAGATGCGACACTCAGAGAGCCTAATTTGCGTAGCTGACTTCTGCGGGGCTACTCATGGAATAGGATACTACTCAATGTGGATAAAAGTCTGGCCCCAAATAATAGCCCATGCAGGGCAGAGACTTGGCATCACACTCAAATAGGGGTCTTGCTTATGTACAGTGATGCTTCTGCAGGGGTTGGCAGTGGCAGAAATTGAGCTTGGGAATCCTGGATCTAGACGTCTGCGTTTTGAGCTAAAGAACCTGATTCCTTAGCTCAAAGGCTGCAGCAAACTCAACCTCTCTACAGGAACTAGAGGCAGACTGGAAAGAGTCACGCTGTCTTAGCATGGGCTCCACTGACACTGAGATTGGGATTGAGAACCAACTTATCTCAAAGCAACTCACGGTGTTGTGCTTTTTGTTATCCGCATACAGTGCTTAGATATTGCAGCCCTAGAGGTGAAATCCTAGCTCCACTGAAGGCAGTGGGACTTTTGCCATTGAAGTCAATGGGTCCCGGCTTTCACCCATACTCTATAAACGCCAAGAGGGAGGGAGGGTGGTAGGCTGTACTTATCTATCTATCTTGTGCTATTTCTGCATGTTCACTGCCAAAATCAGCCAGGAACTAGCCAGCGCAGCGCTTAAAAAAGAAAATATAATTGGGCAGTGGGCCTGAACCACAAACTCAGATCCAAACACCCTGTGGACTTTGGAGAAAATCTAACCCAGATCTGAACTTTGCATGAAACTCTCTCTAGAATTAATGCTTAAAGGAAGTTAGCCAAACATTCTGCCCCTATAAAGAAACTTGGCTAGAGCTTCGGGTGATGATATGAGACAGTGCTTATGTTACCAAAAGTGGCTGACCAGTTTACAATGAAGATGTTGAGGGTTTTTATCCATACATCCATTTGGCACCAAAAAGTTTGAAATGATAATTTAAAAAAAATTAAAACATGATTGTAATTAACAACTGGTATACTTAGAATCTACTGGGAGAAGGTATTGTGTGGCGTGGGTTGGATAGGATACTCTCCTGCTGGGTCTGTAGCATCACTTCTCCCATTATTTGTAAGCAACACAGAATGTAATGGGTGCCACCCAATCCCTATATGGGATACAGTTAGACACTCTTGTTACTCCATGGCTTTAAAGGGCCCACCCCCACACTTGGTTTATCCTTCTCACCTCCATGTGTTATATAACACTGGTGTAATTGACTAGATGCGTTATTATTGACAGTAGCTGAAGTTAGATCAAGTAGTGTTTTTTGTGGCTACGACAGAATGTTCTTTCAAGAATTCAAAGAGGAAAATGTTCCAATTTGTCATCTGACTAGAGAAATAATAACTATTCTTTTAACTTCCATCAGGATTTTTATCTTGCTATATGTGTTCTGCATGCCAAATAAGGCTGATTTATGCTCCAGTCTGTGTCTCTATCCACTGTTCTGCTGGTAGACTGAAGATACATGATTTTTGTTTAAAAGTATCATTACTTTTTGAAAACTCGCGTTTAATGGGATCGGGGCTGTTTCCCAACAAAGGACGATTGGCTTATATCATGCTTCATTGTGAAAAATCCATGACAAACAGATTTATTGCTCATTGTTGTGTAATATTGAGCTAAGTCAGCAGGAAAGATGGTTATTTAGGGAAGTAGCTTCTGAAATATTTAAACAGCTGTTATTAAAGTTTTTCTATAAGGTCATTGAGATCACATTTAAAACCCTCTGAACTAAATCATTTTCCAAACGGCCTGGTTGATCCATCACCACTGGTACTGGATGTGAATGAAGGGGATAGCTACACTTGGCCCATAAAGAACTGTACCGAGAAATTAATGTCAGTGGTTTAAGATTGGGATCAAACTTTTGATAGTCAGGGTGAAACAGCACTGCCCTGCAGGCGGGATAATTATCTGATATTCACCTCTTCTCACTCATCTTCAGCAGAGGGAAGGAACTTGACTCTGTAATGTTTAGCAGGGCTCTATAAGAATTCATTCTATTTTGAAAAGCTATGCAGCTTTATTTAGACTAGCCTTTTTTTGTGTGCCTCGAGGCATTTACTTGTCACCCATCATTAGCTTTGTCTAAAGAGCTGCCTTCTGTGAACATGCACTGCGTCAGCAGCATTCAGACAAAAGTGGAGAAAGGTTCGACTTGCGTTGCTTTGACATGTTCAAAGTGAACTGCTCCACTGCACAGTGGAATTGAAGGTGCAGGGAGAGGAGTTAGTGGGGGGAGGAAAAGGGAATAGGAAAAAACGTTCCTCTTTATATGGGGTTTCTCCAAAGGAATCTGCTGTGAAAGAATCTGTCCCTCTCGTTCCCTGCCTGGAATTGTGCAGCTAGGCTTTTTGTGTGTGTAATTATTGGTTTAGTAAAAAATTGTTCTTTTGAGAGAATTCAGATTGCTTTAATTAGCGCAATATGTCAAGCAAACCCTGGGTTATCTAAAAGCCACCATGACAAGTCAATCATGCTATCCCTTAGTGATCTATTTTTATTTTTAATTTGATGTCTTTCTCTCTAATTTTCTCTCTCTTTTCTTCTTCCTTTAAAAAGAATGGGTTGAATCCCAGGTTGGGCTTATACAAGCTCTGTCACTTAAGTTAATAGCTATGCTTAGGGCTTGACTCTACTTAGATATGGAGCCACTCCTGGGTGGTTCTGGGTGACCTCACTGCCTGTTAAAGTCAGAAGTGGATATGATGACTGAGTAGGGTAAAGTTGCTGAAACAAGTTCCCTTGCAGATAGTCCTTCCTCCAGAAGCATTTGTTTTACAGACTGATTCCTCTGCCTGAGGCATGCATTCTTGATACTATTCAGATACAGATACTATTCCCAGCTGGGGACACAAAGAAGTGAACTGTGGTCATTGAAAACAACTTTTTCTGTGGCATGACCTTGCATGTTGAACGGTTGCAATCGCTGGTTTGGTGCTAATTCTCTCTCTAGGTGTATTTAGTATATTTTTGCAGCTATAGATTTCAGGCATCTACAGAAACTGAATTTCAACTTCATCTGACAAATACCACGAAATTAAAAATTAGTCTGTTCATTATCAGTCAGGTTTGATGGGATGTAAAAAACTAAATAAAAAACCGGACACACATAATCCATGGAAATTGAACACTATGTGCCCTTCGTGTCAGGATTGCTTCTGTGGCTCTTAAAACATGTATATTTTACAATTGAGATTAAAATTCAGTCTCAAGATTGTCATCTAATCTGGCTGGATTTTTTCCTCCTCCTGAGATCTGTAGCACTGCACTTTTACCTAGTAATTTACATGTATTTTATTCAAATGGAGTTTGATATCTGTTATGATGAAATTGTCAATGTTCTAATGATTAAATTGATTTTTTCCCCCTTTCCAGAAACAGTATAGCTGCTTCAGCAGTATGTGCCTTCAACCTCAGTGCCATTACTCAGGCATTTAATGGCCCTTTCCGATACCAGGAGAATCCAAGATCAGCCTGGCTGCCAACAATAAACCCCATCCCTAATTTTCAGGTATTACTGCAGCATTTCAATGTACTCCAGACCCTTTTAATTTCTCTTTGATGGAACTGTTGTACTGAGTTGTTTTTTATGGATTTCAGGATACCAGGCAGAAGCATGGTGCTGAACTATATTTCTCCACACTGGGAGGTGTAATGGAAAATTAGGGGTTGGGGTGGGTTCTTTAGTGCTCTAGATTTACCAAAATACTTCAAGGTAAAGACTAAAGTGGGTAGAGGGGAAAAGCATGGTCAGTTTTTGGAAGAATTCAGGAATCACTGTATGTATTCAAATGAAGTAGAAGGAGGAGAAAAAAATATATAGGTCTAGCCTCTCATCCGGTAAAAGTAAATCTTTTTCATACAGCATATTCTTAGTCTGTGGAACTCCCTGCCACATGATCTGGGTATATCTTGCCAAATCAATTACCTGACATTGTAGGGGTCTTGGGGATTGGTGCTCCTTTGTCCCTCCTATTCTCTGCCCGGGGAGTCTCTTCTGAGCTGTAATACTTCGGTCTAATTCTTGTTGCTGGCCATGATATGGGGGTGTTTGGTGGCCTGTGATATACAGGAGGACAGACTGGATGATCTGGTGGCTCCTTCTGGCCTCAAACATTATGATTATGATTCTATGATATTACTGAGATTATGAGTTTGGCAGGATTCAAGAGAAGACTGAACATTTCTATGGAGACTAAGAATAGCCAGAGTTGTTATAGTAAAGATTTATAAAATTAACAAGAGTTGTGGAAGGGATATAAACCTTCATGCTGAAAGGCAGAAAATAGCCTCTAATTAAAAGGGTGAGGATGAAAATTTCTTGGGGGACATATTATCCCATAACTTCCCACTGTGGGGTTTCTTGCACTGTCCCTTGAAGCAGCTAGCATTGGCCTCTGTTGGAGACCATATTGGGCTAGAGGGACTGCAGAATGGGAATTCCTATGCTCCTAGGTTTGTATTTCTGCTATGCTCATCACTGTGGTGTGTGTGTGGCTAGAATGAAACTCTTAAAATGAGCCATGCAGACATCCCAGCCACGATTTACAGATTCAATGGCTGGAAGCTGAAGCTAGACAAATTCAGACTAGAACTAAGGCACATGACCATTGGAACAACTTACCCAGGGATGTGGTAGATTGTCACTTGAAATCTTAAATCATCTCCTAAATCTTTCAATCAAGATTGGGGGGTGGGGGGGTGTCTTTCTAATGGATAGTGCTAGCTCTTCAGGAATTTATGGGTTTATGCAGGAATTACTGGGTGACATTCTATGGTGTGAATTATTCAGGAGGTCAGACTAGATGATCATAATAGTTCCTTTGGGCCTTAAAATCTAAGCATCTGTGAATTGTGAACTTGCCGGGATCCTGAGTTACAGCTAATTGTCAAAAAAGGAACAAATTGCAACCATCCAGCTTTACAGTCAGCTCTGCACAAAACCTCAGCGAGTGAAGATGACTGCTTCAGAGCATCCGTGAGCAGCCTCTGCTAGCTGGGCTGCCACGAAGCCGGCATCGAAATATAGAACTTAGTCCTCCCCCACTGGTGGAAATCCCAGGGGGAGTGTCAGTGTGTCAGGAATCTTCCCTCACACCCTCAGGGTGAATCTCTCTGTGGCACAGTGGGGCCTTGTGCCAAATTGGATGCCCATTTCCCCTTAGAAATGCAGAGGTGCAGTTGATGCAGATTACAGATTCCAACATGCCATTGCTCCATACTGATTGGCTACGTTTTGGCCACACTGATCTAGGTGCATTCAGAACAAAATCTAAGGCCTAACTGGAGGCCCGGTCATGCTGAATGCCCTCAATTCCTATTGGGTTTGAAAAGTATTAGGGTTCTCTGAGAGTCTAGGGTGTTCAGCACCTCTCTGGACTGTGTCCTGGGTGAACAGGGAAATGCAAAAAATGAGTCTGGAAAAGAGATTTATTTGCTGTGGAAAATATCAGATATAATGGGGGAGTGAAGAGATTACATGGCCAATATGAGAGTGTTAAAAGATAAAAAAAAATAAAGAAAGGAAGGAAGGAAGGTCCATGGCAGATGAAAGGAAGATTGCAAAAAGAGATTTGGATATATTTCAAGTATGTAAGGAACAAGAGGTCAGTGAAGGGCCTTTATGAGATGACAAAGGTAATTTAGTGACAGAAGAGGCAGATATTGCAAAAAAAAAAAAAAAAAAAATTAAATTAATTCCTTGACTCAGTGTTCACAAAGGAAGATGAGGGAAGGATGCCAAAAAAAAATGCCTTCCCAGAGAGGAAGGAGAAATACTGAAGGATATGGAGGATCAAGACAGCATAGATAATCAGGAAATTAGAACAAAACAAAATAAAACAATAACAAGAGGATGCTGTGTCAGCATGTGGGCTGCCAATAGAGCAAAAGGGTTATCTTCTGCTTCATGAGCGTAGGAAATAAAACTAACAATGATATTCCAACCATCAGGATTCCTCCTTCATTGATGACCTGTGAAGGAAAAGGGTATAGTGGGTAAAAATGAGACTATCTGAAGCATGAACGTTCAGGGCTAGAGAGAGAATGAGAAGGAGGTGGCAAAAGAGAGATTTCCAAACTTCTTTAGGAACCAGGGATTAGGCACTGATGAAATAGAAAGAACTTCTCTATTAGCAAATGCATTCTGTAAGGATTGAGTCAGAAAACCACTAACATGAGTATTTAGAAAGAGGCTGAAGATACTAACCAAAGGGCTAGATCTTCAGCTGGAATACATCAGCACCAGCCCTATTGACTGCCCTAGATTTCCTCCAGTTCCTCCAGCTCTGGTTGCAGATTTTAGTTAGTTGCAGATTTTCGGCAGGGATTCACAAAAGGAAAGTTGTGCCTAGAACATTGTGAAGAACTTGTTTGTTGGTGCAGTAAACAGTCAGAAATGGGACCCTAATTGGGAAAACATAATTTGTCTGTTCCTTGATCTGTCAAGATCAGTAAATCAGTGGGGCAGCATAGTCCAGTGGACCGAGTTTAGGACTGAGCACTCATCCCAATTCTGCCGTTGACTTCTGTGCCCTGGGGCACAGGACATTTAATACTCCTCACATTTCATATGGGTTAATGAAAGCCTCCTTGCCCACCTCACAGCGCCAATCCTGTTCCCAGTGACGTCAGTAACAAACATCTCGTTGACTTCTGTGGGAGTATGATTTTTCACGGTGTTGTGACAATATTAAGTGCTAAGTATTAAAGTATGATATAACGTGAATTCCAGAGCAACGCAGGCCTCAGAATGAGGTAACCAGGGTAGCAGATCTGATGCTGTTGTTGAACTGAAGCAAGGAGGCCAGTGCCTTAACCAAAAGGTCCATTTTGATGGACCTGGGAGGTGAGGTGAAGTTTGAGGATGGTCGGACACAGGCTAACCAGCCATCTATGTGAAGCTGTAGGAGTTGGAGGGAAGTTGCAGGCCAACTCCCTTGCAAGGATTATTCAAAGTCAGGGGAGCCAGTGGGGGAATGCATGTGGAAGAGGCCAGGTGGTGAACTTGGTGTTTTCATACAAAAAGAGTAATTTTTTGGGGCGTTCATCTCAGGTTTACAGGACTTTAGGGTGAGACTTCAGGCAGACCTGGGAAAACCTCAGAAAGGGTTTGGGTAGAAGTTCAGGGTTTTCTTATCTCCTCTGAATTTCTTTATCCATCCTTAACTTTTTTTCTCCCAAGTTAGTTCTGAACTTCTGTAGTTTTATCTGTAGACGCGCTCACTCTGTGGTGTCGCAAAGGAATAAAATACCGTCTCACTGGCCAATGGACCAATATGGAGACATGACTTTATGGGGTGGAAGAGTGACCAAAGCTCCCTGTAACACTGGCTGCTAGCACAAGGGGCCAAATCTTGAAGGCTTTCCTCAGGCACAATTCTCAGTGAAGTCAACGAGTGTTTTCCCTGAAGAAGGACTTCAGGGTTGTTTTGGGTGAAGTGCAAATAGAGCTGCTGAAGTTCTGTCGTCCCTGTTTAGTGTGGGACGCTGAATGACAACAGCCCTAACGAGAACCTGACCGAAAGGATCCTGCAGGATGCCCAGCGCTTGTTCCTGATGAATGACGTGGTTCAGCCAGTCTCCGTGGAGCCCTACGTCACTCAGGACAACATTCGATTTTCCAAACTGGTGGTTGACATTGTTCAAGGAAAGGATACTCTCTACCACGTGATGTATATTGGCACAGGTAAGAGCATTCGAGTTTAAGGAGGAGAAGTCCCCCTCGTTCAGAGACATAGCAGTATGGGAGCCTGATCCTGAGGTTGTTATTGTTTGTACTGAGTTCTTACTTTAGGCAAAACTCCATGGAAGCTAGTTTTTCTGAATAGGGAAGAGAATAGGCCTTAAATCCGCAATGCGCAAAGAAGCAAAAGATGTTTTTCCTTTTAACATGTATCAACTAATCAGACTAAGGCACAATGGTGGAGAAGGGCAAAGGGCTTGCCCTAGGTAACCAAATTACTGTGCGTGATCTTGTGCAAGCTAACTTAACCTCTCCGGGCTACAGTTTACCTATCTGCAATGATACTTGTGCACTTTTACACACCTATGAGATCAAGAGATGAGTAAGCATTATTATCATCACATTGCAAATGGGGAAACTGAGGCAGACAATTTCCTAAGGTCACACGACGAGTCAGTGGCAGCACTGAGATAACAATGCAGATCTTTTGACTCCCACTGCTATGCTCTGACAATTAGGGCATGCTGGAAAGCACAAAAACCGTGGATGAAAGGCAATGAAGAAAGGCAAAGCATTATAAATGGTTGCCTTAACCTATATTCACACTTGAGATCAAAGTTAAATTAAATATTTTGATTAATCAGAGCATATGGCCAGCCTCATGGGGGTAATGTTTTTGTCCTTTATTGTGGGAGTGTTGACTTTATAATAAGATATATTGCCCCTGTAAGTGTTAGTTTAATCTAACATTGCAATATGGAGTCATCCTCTCACTCTGAAGTTACCATCTTCCAGGATTGTGTCATAATTTATGTAACTTTTACCACCACTTACTTCGAAAGTGATTAGCTTTGATATATTCGAGTAACAGTCCCCCTGATTTAAGCCTGCATGGAAGTGATCGTGATGAGCAAACCATACTTAAAATGAAATATGGCATGGTGTTGCCATTTTTACTTCTTTATTCCTTAAGTGAGGTGTCCCAGTTACTATGCCAGAAGAAACAGAAGTGGAAGACTGAGATTTTAATTCCATTTGCTTTTTGTCTTCCGTTATCTGTGAAGAAGTCATAGTGTTTTATCATCTATTATCTTATACACATCAGTTTCTCTGGACACTGGTAGTGGTCACTGGAGACTGGAATCTGTTGAAATTCTGAAACCTTTCAAAGGATGAGAATCACATTTAGAGGGAGCCTCGAGCATATTGTATCCTGGAGATTAGGGGTGGACTTGAACCCAAATCGGAATTGACCCCAAACTTCATGATGGTATAGATCCAGATCTGTATTTTGAGGCCCTATTAATTGAGAAACTTCCTGTATGTAACAGAACTTTGTTGCTAGGAGTAATTTAACTATGGTACTGACACACAAAAAATGCTGTTTGACCAGGAAAGCTTATTCCCTTGAATAGATCAAACTTCAAAGATAACAGGCATTGACTAATCTAATTTTTGTTCTAAATGCATGTATTATTCATGAAAAAAATGCTAGTTTGACAGCCCCAAAGATGAACTTCTCCCATAGATCCATCAATCCACCAATTGATAGATCAACAGTGTAGTGTAAGCTTCCATACAAACACTGCTCATTGTCATTGTATCCCATATTCCTACCGTAAGGACCACTTTTAGCAGGGAAAGGATAATTTAGACTTCAAACCCATTCAGTCCTTACTATGACATCAGAGATTTCCAACACTGGCGCACCATTTGTTGCAGTTGAGATGGCATTATTCTGGGTCCATCTGTTCCACAGCTATAAACCAGTAAGGACACCTGAATACACAAAAGGGAATTGCACCCACATAGCTGAGGCAGTTTCTACCCTGGATAACAAAAATGTTTAAAAAGTAGTAGAAGAGGAAACAAGCCTTAAAGTGTTTATGTAAATAGGATGTCATTAATCTTTAGTCTTTGTGCTAGGTACAACATTGAATCAATATCTCTAAGATTTACTTGCGTCTTGCTTCTTGTTCCATTAGAGTATGGCACCATTTTGAAGGCACTTTCTACCACTAATAGGAGCCTGAGGAGTTGTTATTTAGAGGAAATGCAGATTCTTCCCGACGGTCAACAGGAACCAATCAAGAGCCTCCAAATCCTGCATAGTGACAGGTCACTATTTGTGGGTTTAAATAATGGAGTGCTAAAAATTCCTCTGGAGAGGTGTTCAGTGTACAGAACAGAAGGGTAAGCAAATTTTACTGCTCTGATATATTCCACTCCAGCTTCAAAGGAAAGCACCAGGGAAACATATTCTAGTCTGATTCATTTCAGAATGCCTTTTTTCATCACTGGGAGAGAGAGAGAGACAAGATATTTGTGTGTGTGTGTGTATATATATATATCTTGATTGATAGTGCTCATGCCAGGAGCAATGGGAATGAAGGATATTGTTTTTGGTAAATATTAATTCGTCCTCATTAGAAATTAATCACGTTTACTGAGGAGTAACTTCCAATATTTACAACAAGGAGTCTGGTGGCACCTTAAAGACTAACAGATTTATTTGGGCATAAGCTTTCGTGGGTAAAAACCTCACTTCTTCAGATGCAGTCTTTAAGGTGCCACCAGACTCCTTGTTGTTTTTGTAGATACAGACTAACACGGCTACCCCCTGACACTTTCCAATATTTACTTTTTTACTTGACTTTTCAGTGTTGGTTTTATCATCTCCATGTGTTTCGCTTGTAGTTCTCACTGGCTGAAAGGCTGCAGTATTCTGAATTCTTGGTCCTCTGGCCCATTGTGGCTTCTAAATGATTGCTTCCCAACCATTTAACAATGTAGGGGTGCATTGGGTGGCTATTTTTCGTTGTTTTTAGAAGCCAGTAGCTCATTGGAACAGCATGTGACAGAGCTGGCACCTGGAAAAGTGCTGTTTGGCTTGAACATTTTAAAAGAAAATAATAAAAACATTTTCAATATTGGCCTCTAACTGCAGAGGTGTAATCCACCCAGTGTTGAATACAGAAGGGTTTGGATAGCTACATCTCCTGCCCCTAGTTTCAGCAGGCAAAGCAGTGTGATACTAGCTGACTGAGACAGGTGCTCCTGTAATCTGTGTTTTTCATCTTCAGTCCTAGAGTTTAAAGTGGGTCCAGCTGTGGGTAATTGCTTATTTGCACCCCTAAAGACACTCTCCCCCTTTTATTGCAGCCTTTGCCTTGCTGATCCTTGTCTGAAATGGATATCTTCAGTGCATGCCAAAAGGAGGCAGTTCATTAGCATGCTCTACCTCTTTCTTGGCCTAGCACAAAGCCTGATTCCACATGGTGAATTTCATGATTGCTTAGTTTCTAACCAGGTTAAAATTTTAACTAGCTTGTTCTAAAGTTGAGTCTGTCTAAATGTAAAAACAACGGCTCTTTCTATTTTTGCTGAGCCTCATAAGTATACTTATCCCTTTTAGGAAAAAAAACCTCCACTTCAGTCATTACTTCAAGTTTGGCTCAGGAATGGTGAATGTATTAAGGTTTAGGAGTTTGATACAGAAGGGTTTAATACGAGAAAGGAACCATAGTTGGAAAACATCGTCCAATCCTCCAATGGCAGATGTTTAAAGGGCCAGAACACAAGAGCCTTTCTCTTAAGATTGTATAGGAGAATACAGCTTGAAAGGAATATACATATAAAATGGATCAAGGGAAACCTAATTCTTCCCTCTCTTTCTGTTTGTTCATGAAAGATATACCCACTTAAACTTGCTAATAATTTATTGAATGTTAAAGTTCCCAGTCTGAGGATATAAAAGTACTTTTCACTGTGGGGGCCAGCTTTTGTAAAGTTGTAAAGTCAAATGGGCAACGATTTCAAGGCTCCCTAAGGTATCTGCACACTCCATTCCCATTGCTGTTGCTTTTAACAATTTGTATTGTAAATTATAGGCGGTTTGGCCAAGGTTTTCCGCGTTGCCTGAGGGATTTGGATGCTAACCATTAAAGAAGAACTTATATGCCACTCCACTGAACAGAGAGAACGAGCCAATCCTGTGAGCATTCATGGATGAGACTTGCTCAGTAACAGACTGAACTGGGTGACTGAGACCGTCATCGTATAACTCCCCTAAAAATCATTACTTTCTTCCTGGAAGTCTTGGCCATGACAAACATGCACAGTCTTTGTTACGATGCTGATTTAGTGCTAAAGGATTTCCTAGTGAGACAGCCTTGTGACATACACATCTGGGGCCAGTTTCCTTCCAGGTGCAACACCATTATATTTAGAACGTAGTTTCAATAGGCTGGCTCATCTATTCCTGTGGAAAAACCCATAAGATTGGGTTTGGGAGAGGAAGTGTCTTCTAGGGTCCCCTGTGGGGGATCATGGGTCTCAACCCAGGTCCCTGGGCAGTCCTCTAACTGCAGCCACCACCTGACTGATACCAGCAAAGGGTGTGGGCTGGTGGACCCTAGCTCACCATAGGCACCGCTCACAAAGCTCCCAATTGGAGGAACTGTCTGGTCTCTCCAATTGGCTCGGACTCATTGTTTGAACCAGAAGTCGTCTAAACAACTAGGTGAATTCCTGGCTGGTAGCTACATCAGATCTGCCTTGTTGCCTGACTCTTAAGTCCTGCCTTGTTCCTGATTCCTGCCTTCCTGTCCTATTCCTGGTTCCTTCGCCCTGCCTTGTTCCAGATCCCTGCTTCTGTGCCCCACCCCTGGCTCGAGCTCTGAGCCTCGGCCCGATTCCTGACTCTGGCTCTGACCCTCGGCTTGACTCCCAACTCTGGTTCCATTGCTAACCTTCGGTTCCTGGCTCCTGACTCCTGCTCTGACCACTAGGCCTGACCACCTGTGTTCAGTCTATGACCATCTCCTCATGGAAATTCCATCAGGAGGATCAGGGTTTGCTTCTGCATATGGAACAGACTGTGGAACCCACCCAGAAACCCCAAGGATCCTGTGGGATCTATAGGAAGCAAAGTCTCTTAGCACAGAGGCCCCTTGCATCCTTCCATAGCATCTCTGCTCCAGTGGAGCTGCACTGGATCCATGCTACCAGGTACTTCCCTGGCCATGGGTATCCCCCTTCAAGGGATCGCTGGATTGGAGAGGGGGCCACAGAAAAGATGACAAAGCCCCAGGACTTTCTGCAGGGCCAGAGGAGTGGTGCTATGTGTTCCAAGTCCCAGCCTGCCCACACTTCACCTGGCTCAGAATCCCAGACACCGAGAGAACCCGCTTCATGGACTGGGGGGAAAGGGTGACGGTGTCACAAGCGCAACTGAGTCCTTTTTGCCTCATGAGAGTCCCCTCCACACATGGATCCGGGAGGCACAACTCCTCCCCCGGTCATCCAGCTTTACTCCAGCTTAGTGGTACACAATAGTTTAGAACACACAGACTCTCGCACATCATAGTCGTCATTTGACTTCATGGTACAATGTTAAGGTCTATCTCAGATGACTGGAAGCTGCCTGACATCAGATGAGGGTTTTAAATTTTCTCCAGATCATACTACTTTCAATGAAATAAAGCATCAACCCAGCTCTTGAGGGGCTGGTGACTCAAAATCCTGCCTCCTACAGTCAGTTTTATCATAGTTTTAGATACTGTAAAAATGAGTAGGGTTGGGCTAAATAGAAGTACCGGAGATAGGATATGTAAATATGCTGGGTGCCAAACAGCGAACACATTTGTACAACGTGGTAAGCCAGAATTTGTTCAGAGAGAGTTGGTCAATGAATGTGATTTTGCAGGTAATGCAGTGGTGGGTCCTGAGTTCAAAAGAAGATGGGGAAAAACTCTGGGAGGTTATCATGAGATGTGGAGCAATAGAGGGATGGTACATTGCAAAAAACCAAATGGAAACTTGCAAATGTGCACATCCCTTAAGAAAGCTACGAGGAGCTGGGGTTGTATGTATTTAAATGGTGGGTTTTTTTTCCCTAATAGAAACTGTTTTGTAGGAGATTTCTCAATTTCAGATTCCTGAAACTTTCCCCCTTTAATATCCTGGATGTGTAGATCACATGTTTACCAATCTCCTTTGTATTTATTTCAGTGCTGAGTTGTATCAAGGGGGGTGTTTTAATTTCATCTGGTGCTTTCCACCTGGCACTTCTCATGGGCTGTGATTTATTGCTTATTGTTGTGTCTATGTTTAATACATGCCAATAAATAACCTCAGGAGCAAGTCACGATTCCTACCCCTCACCTACTTCCTTGCCGGTGCTATGACTTCTTGACTGGCTTCTCAGAAAAGCTCTGGTTTCAGCAGTTTTCATAATCTAATCGTTTTGATGGGGGCTTGGGAAGCTTTCAGATGATGAAAATTTTGTGCCTCCCAGGCAGGAATACTATAGTGCTGTTAGTTTCCCTTGGCTCTGTCCCTCTTTATCAGGAAACTTGTGACTGTTTTGCACCCCAGGGGCTAATTAGGAATTATGATTGCCAAGTAGTTTTTGTAATCCTATCAGTCTGGGCCCCAAGAAAGGGAAATCAGATGTGGAGACAAAACTGATCTAGCATCGATTAGCTTTGGCATTCCATACAGCTCTGCTGCTGCAAGGCAGGGGGACCCATACCCAAGGCTCAGAAAGAGGGGAAGAGGAAGAAAGGGGGTGAAAAAAGCACGTCTGGCCTCTCCTTTACTGTTTGTTTATTGCCACAGCATCAATTGAACCTGCTAAATGGTCACTGATAGTATTGCACAGTGTCTTGATGTGTCTCGCTGACCCAAGGTATTTCTGGGTGTCTAAATGGTGCTTTGTACATGTCTACTGACCTGTCACAATTGGCCTTTTCAATACAGCCAGGCTCACCAGCCGAGCGACAGGAAGACGGCTGTAGTGTCAGTTGCCCAAATTGATGGCTGGACTTGGCTGCCGGGACCTTGCCTTGTGCATTTGTGTGTTTTCCTATTGTGTTAACGCTGTGGTTCCTCACTTCCACTGGAGAGTATTAGGAGGGTGTCCAATGCATGCAAAACCTGCAAACCCTTTTAAACATGTCATGTTTCTAGACTTCTTCGCTGCATAGTAGTTTGGCTGGGTTTGCTGCTCAGGGTTTTACTTGTTTAGAAACCTTTTTAATCTCCTTACAATACGAGAAGTAGGTAAAGTTGGGTTTAACACTTGTTTCAAAATACCCTTCTAAACTTTGGCCTTGGGTTGGTCTTGGATTCCTGTTCTAAATTTCACAGCTGGCATCACAGTATATCTAGAACAGGTAAAAACAAAACCC